TGAAACAAGGGTGGTTACCCATGGGGACAAGTTGAACAGGTTTTCAAACCAACCATTTTGTTGTTCTTTTTAATTTTTTTTTAGTTTTAATATTTTTTCTGACTACAAAGAGACTTTCTCTTATTACCCTGGAATTACTAGCATAAAAACAGCAATTTTCTCTTAGTGCTATACAAAGTCCACCTTGTTGAAGGAAAAGGAGATCTAGCCCCTGCCTGTCCTGTAAGACCATTTCTGCTAATGAATCCACTTGGCTCTTGAGGTGGGAGATGGAGTTTTCAAGGTGCCCTAGGTCAGCATCTATTTGGGTTCAGAGCTTCTCTATATTGATTTTTTCTTTTATTAAGGCTGAAGACCCAACTGCGACAGATCCTGTAATTCCCAGCCCAACCAAGATGGGCACTAGAATGGGAGCTCATCTCCAGCAGTTTGAGGACGGGGAATGGATTAAGTTTTGCCCTCCATCCCCGTGGTATACAAATATTTGAGGTAAAATGTAGACCAGGATTCAAAGTAGAGGTCTTGACTGACTTGTGAATTGAGCCCCAGCAGTGCATTTTGTGAGTCCATTAGTGCGGGTTAGCTAAGTCTGATTCAGGGCTTGAAAAAAGTTTTAGAGTTACTGTTATTAATTTGGATAGTAGATGGGACAGCTCCAGAAAGACCTACTCCTATATAATCTGGGGGGTTTGAGTTAAAGCATAGCCAGCAATCAGTTCCCAAGTTTGGCTGGGAATCATTTATAAGTCGATGGATAGCACTGATTATGTTTAGAGGAGGCAGCTCTGGTTGAGGATTTGGCTGAAGGGGGCAGTAGCTGATCTCTTCATCTAGGGATAATGTTTGTAGGGGCAGTGGTCAGTTTGGAGGGACCTTTGCCTACTGGTATTGGTAAAGCTAGATCAGCAAGAGGGCCCAGTGGTCTTTCTGGTAGGGGTGGGGTTTTCTTTTGAATGGTAAACAGGGTTCCCTGGTCGCTCCCAGATACATAAAGTTTTATTCCCCAAGTCCTACCTGTTTCCATGAGTCATAAGTTGAGTACCGTCTCTGGTTGTGAAGGTTACTGGGTTACATTTTCTTATTACAGAAGTAGAGGGGTTGGGTTCGCTTCAAAATTTTAGGTGGATGTCCTCATTTCTGTACTAATTGTCAATAGTTAATAAAGTTTCACATCCCCAATGGGGACAGAAAAATTCCCCTGAGTTTAAACATTGCCAACTAATTTGTCCTGAACCCTGGCAAATTTTTATAATCCTTGTTCTCTCTTTTTGTCCCACATCCCCAATCTTTTACCCCTATTCTTCCTCCCCTTTGGGATGTTCTTTTTTCCCCAGTTATGGTAATGGTATCTTTAAACAGAGAGCATAAATCTAATTTTAGTTCAGTCAGTCCCCAAGTAGATTTAGTAATATTTGGAAGTATTTTTTTTTTTTACTTTATCAAGAGCAGACCAACAATTGGGGACTACTTTGTCTTTTTGAACAGAGAGAAAGCTGACTTACAATCTTATATTAGTGCCTTTAAAATTTATTCATTTTAATCTTAGTCCATCCTGACCACACCTAAAATTTGTTTTTAAAGATTTCCCTTTACAAATTTTCTACAACTTTTCTTTGCATTTAGATTTTGTCCCAAATTATTTCTTTTTAAATAACCATCTCATTTAGGATAAAATTACCTTTTTTACCTTTTAAAATGCATTTCCATCCTTTATCCTTTTTTTTCTGAAAACTTTTCACTGTGCATATAATCTCATTTTCTTTTATGAATATTTCCTTTATATTCTGATATATATATATATCCTTTAGATATATATATCCTTTATATTCTATTATATAATACCTACATACTTATATAGATATCTATATTTATCCATATAGATATAGATTAAATATATATAATATATATTATATATTATATATACTGTATATTTTGGTATAGTGTTATATCTTCTATTTTTTATATACACAGTTGTTTTCCTTATTTTTATTAGTCTTAGTTACAGTTAGTAGAATTTTTATTTTTTTCTAAACCTTAATCTCCAGTGAAGACGAAGGAGTAACCAATTATGAATTGTTACATCAGAATTTTTTGGATGGCAAATTTGTGAATTCAGTTAAGCATAAAACGTGTTTATCAACAGATTTAAATATCCTTAGTTTCTTTGTAGTAAGAAGTCAAAAGCACAAACCTATGTCCAGTAATTAATGATTTAGCACTTTATCCCATTTGGAAAAGACCTAGATGTCCAATGAATTTAATTCCATCCAAGCAGAACTTTAAAGTTTACCAAAGAACTTTAAACTTTACCAAAGACTTAGAAAGCTATCTTAACAATTACCCAATAAAACTCTGAGACAATTAACCATCAATATAGTAATTTTCCTGTTAACAGATTGCAACAGAGATAACATGAGGTTATTTGACTTTTAGTAAACCTTCATAAAATAAAAGTCTTACGTCTACTGCTGATAGCTTTAAAGACATGTCTATCTTAATTAGACCAACAAACTTGGTTTAAATACTGAATTATGTTCCACCTGGATCCTCCCCATGGTCAGTTTTCACCTGAGACACGTGGGGAAATCTGGAGTGGGTGGTGTTAGGTCTAGGGGGTGCTCTTTTTGCTAATACCATAGCTTTTAAAGAGCTTTTAGCCATGGTGAGCAGGGGCCTTCTTGGTCACCCTGTGTGTTCCCTCTCTGTGTCACTGGCATAAAGACAAACAAAAGGGTGTGCCCCTCCAAAGGAGAGACCAGTCAGATGCCCACCTGTCTGCCCTCCTGGAGGAGACCTGGGTGCCTCTTGGCCATAGTGAGTCCATATGAACCCCGGGCTGGCACCCTGAAGGGGCTCGCCTTAGACCTTATGAGATCATCATAGAAACAGGTTGGGGCCCACTTGGACTCCATAGGCTTTTGGGGACCCTAAGGGTGCCTGTCTACGGAGCCACAGCATCAGTCTGCCTGACAAGCCAGGTCAAACTGTATATTCATTCACACATTCACTCCAGAAGGTATTACAGTTCCTCCCCCTGGGAGGTCCTGACCTGTGGAATTCCCTCCAGAAATTCCTTTTTGATCCCCCTTTCGGAGCTTTCCTGACCTGAGGGATCTTCTCCCTTGGAAGTCCCTACGAGTGAGACTCTTGGAGGTCTCTGGGAAGTGATCAATTTCCCCTTTACCCTGATGGGTGGGCCTGACTGGGTCCTGGTAACACTGGTAAAAGACCAAAAGTAAAACCAAAGCAAAAAGTGAGAATTTTCCTAACCAGATCAGCCAATGCATGGACCTGAAACAAGGATGATAAGGAGAAAGGTAAATAGTGAAATCTCTGCTGGACTATAGTCCTGAAAAGACCCCTGGAAAGACAGATCAGTAATCCAGGAGGAGAGATGGTCACAGAAGGGAAACGGGGAGAGACCAAAACAGATCTTCTAAGATAAGACTGAGAAAAGAACTAAAGTGACACAACAAACAAACCATTCTCATACACCAAATTTCCAGAGACTCTCTCTAACATCTTAGAGGAGTCTTTGGAGGGGAGTTAAGACTGCATCCAGTCCTCCGACCTCCACCAGGTTGACCAGTCCCAGGTTAACAGAAACATAAGGAGGTATTACCTACCTTATAAACGTGCAGGTGACTCCGTGAATTTTTGAGCATCAGGTATCATCTCCCGTCCAACTGTCAAAGACTCATAGAGATCCTTCCAGGGCCCTGGAATATCTCAGGGGGTGCCTCCGCTAAAGATCTCTCCAGATCCCAGCAGTACAGGCAGGGAGGCCACCTGTCTGTTAAGGTGTCCTACCCAAGTGTTATGAGGACACTCAGAAATCTCACTGGGGTCTCCAAAGTTGTATCTAGAGCAGCGAGCTTATACAGATATACACCATATTCAGTAGGCCAAACTGAGGAGTCTTCATTAAAAAGTCGATGGCTGGGGCTCCTGGGTGGGTTAAGCTTCTGCCTTCGGCTCAGGTCATGATCTCAGGGTCCTGGGATCGAGCTCCACATTGGGCTCTCTGCTCAGTAGAGCCTGTTTCCCCCTCTCTCTCTGCCTACTTGTGATCTCTCTCTCTCTCTCTCTCCCTGTCAAATAAATAAATAAAAATTAAAAAAAAAAAAGAAAGAAAGAAAGAAAGAAAAAAAGCCGGCGTCTGTGAGGGGGCTCATGCACTCCAAAATCTCGCAGCCCAGAATGAGCTCAGGAGTAGACTTATAAAGGCATAAACCACATCCTGTTGCCAGTTTCTAAAATTGCCAAGCGCAGTACAGAAGCAAAAATGCTGGGCTAAGCAGACATTTAGGGTAGGGGTACATTTCCTGAAATTGTTATGTCTGGAGTATTTTGCGTTTTTTGTTTTGTTTTGTTTTGTTTTGTTTGTTTTTTGTTAAGGTTGCAATAACACAGGTATGGTAATATGACTGTGTTACGAAATGCCCACTTTTTATAAAAATGGCATGACTTATACTAAGTCCATTTCGTAGGGGTCTCAAAAGTAGCAGTGGACTTTGCTTATTCAAGTTAAGAAAGCTGAGTCTTCATGGGACAGCTAAATTCAGTAAAAACTAGAAGGCAGAAGAGGTGTTCAAGAAGGGGAAGCTGAGAAAACACTGCTGATGACCTCACCATGATTCTGGGAACACAGTGGAAGGATCTGGGTAGCACGGGAAGTGTGCACAGGTCACAGCAGCACAAAAGTAGGAGTTCCATCAATAATGGGCAACTGTGAAATGCCAGAAATCTTACAGTGCCCAAGTTAAGTGTGCATAGATCATGGTGGGGTTTGTTCTGATAGTTTCTTAGAGGAGAGCAGTTGCTCATTCTTGTTCTGGAGTAAGGTAGCATCAGTAAGATGGCTTCCTAGAAGACCCCCACCCTCCCTCATACAGTGTTTGGCAATGATTGATGGCTTTCAAAGGAAATGGCATGAGGGATGAGAATTAACAGATGAACTTGTGGTTGCAGATGGACAAGCCCAGGACAGGCAGGATAGAAATTTTTATATAATTTTATTAATAAACACAGGGAAATAGTCATATAATACATTAAATTTTCAAAGTATCATCATAATATTCTGAAAAATATAAAATGTAAATGTGTAAATTTTCATTTTTCCCATGACAATGCAAAAGAAAAAAAAACAGTAATTACAAATATGTGTATTTTACAAGAAACTCCATTTATCATAGAAATTAGCAGAGTGGATGAATTATGACAGATTTTCATATCCTAATGGATCAAGTCCCTGGTCTAGGAGCATTAGAGAGGACTCTCTTAACTTCTGCAACAATTTCCTTAGTTCTTCCTTAGAAAATACCAGATACAGTTTGTGGCACTCAGAGGAGACCATATCTGCTAACTGCAAGCATTTCGGATACTGACCAGTACTATGCAATATGGTATGAAGCAGAAAACACAACATCGGCAGACAAAGCTTTCTCAATGAAACTATTTGGTGTGTCCTTTCATGGTCTTCTTCAGCATCCTCTCTAACATCTACCATCCACCATCCATCAACAAACAACAAGACATTGTACATTTTCTCCTTCACATCAGCAGTCAGGGCATCCAAATGTCCTTTCCAAATAACATAATCCATTTCATATTTCTTTTCTTTGTGTTCATGAGCCACTCTCTCAGTAAAAGTTGCTTGAGGTATCAAAGTAGGTTTCTGTAGAGCTGAATTCATATGCTTAAACCACTCGTTAAAGGTTTCATTGGCTTCCAAATAAGCTCTAATGCACAAATGTTCTCTGATAGCATTATCATCTTCGGCGGGAAGTGGACTTTCCATTCCTTGTTCCTCCCACTGACTATAGATTTCCGCTATAGAATCCTGAGGAATTTTCACAAGTACTTCTTTTGCAGCTTCATGCTTTTTTGATGCCAAGAATTTTCTCATTATTGCATTGCCTTGTTTAAGTGCTTCCGCCCTCTGTGCTGGGTCAAATACCAACCAGTCAATTACGTCAATTTTTAAACGGTCCTCCTCAGTAGTGCTGGTATCTAGGGCTGGGGCCATGTCATGATGACTGAATTCACCATTATCTTTCTTTCGGATATTCTCGACTACAGTCTTTGTTATAGCTGCAATATCCAAATCTGCTTCTTTAGCCAGTTCCAGGCAATGGTGGCGCTGCTCAAATTCTGTAACACCTTCCAAAAATAATGCATACTGGGCTACAGCTAGGTCTTGAGGCAAATGACAGGTATAAAATGCTATGAGATTTGTATGCTTCTCATTTATTAAAAGCTGTATGTATGTCTTTAAAATTTCAATGGAAACTTCTTCTTTGATCTGTAGTCCCAGAGTGTGGAAAAACAAAATGATGTGAGTCATGAAGCGGAGAAGATGTCCAGGTAGATTGTTTCTGCTTTTGGAAAGCCATTTGTTAAATTCATTCATCAAACCATCAGTGTCTCCCAGGATAAGGAACTTTTGAACTATATGATAATGTTCTTGATTCTCTTCCAAAACTCTCTTTTTATCAGTAGCTTGAAGTTCTTCAAATACCTTTTCTAAGGTCCAATTTGCTTCCAAATACTCCCTAGGGAGTTCTTCAGTTTCATCCAGATTCACTACCGATGACTGGATCTCCTGTTCTACCAAACCGTCCACCATCACCCAAAAGTAGGCCCACACTGTGTCTTACCCAAACTCTGTGTAAGACTTGTATTTTTTTTTTTTTTTTTTGGATTCTGGCACATTTTTAGATGAGGTTAAAAATGTCACGGTGTGCACAGGAAGTGGGCAAAGGAGTTCTGAGGGAGGGGAGGCCCGGAGGTGGAACAAACCGACTGGTCTACTCGGGCAGGAGCTCTGGGAGGGACACAGGAGCTACGGGGCCTCTGGGAAGGTGTTGGTTCGGAAGATGGAGGAGATGATCTTGCCGGTGGCGTTGATCATGCCTTCGCTGTCTGAGCTGGACTCGGAGTCGCTGCTCCCGGAGTAGGTGCCCAAGCCCGGGAGGATGCCGATGCAGACCGCAGCAGAGGGTCAGTGGATGGAAGGGGCGCTCAGGGACATGCTGCCAAGAGACATGCAGGACAGGGCTTCTTGATTCTTGTCATCTGGGTCAGGGTCCGATTTCAGTCTTTTCACACTGTTGCCACTCTCTGAGCTCTTATGTTTCATAGCTCCTGCCAACAGCTTGGCCTGGGAGACCTTGTTCTTGGTTTCTATGGGTTTCACAGCCACTTTCTTCTCCACCTCCTTCTTGTTTTCCAGAGAAATTCCAACTTTGTTGAGATTACTTCTGTATTCCTTTAGTTCTTTCAGTTCTTCTCTCCATTGCTTTTCCAGGAGCTCCTGCTGCCGGGAAACCTCATCAAGGAAGTTAGTCTCATCTTCGTCTAAGCCTCTTACCATGTTTTTGAATTTGAACTGCTCCTCATACTCCTGCTGCTTCCTGTCTTTCTGTTCCTGCAGCCTTTCATAGAGAGACCGAGGGTCATAAAGGTGATATCACAGGAGTCCGTCCAATTGAGAGATGTGGCTGTGATCTTTTCTCCGGAGCAGTGGGCTTATCTGAGCTCTGAAGAGAGACAATTGTATATGGATGTGATGCTGGATAACCTTGATTACCTAGTGTCTTTGGGACACTGGACTTATAAGGCAGAAGTGGAATCCACTTTGAGGCAAGGGAAGGACCTCTGGATGGTGGAGAAAGAGGTGACAAGTGCTCCATGCCCAGCATGTCAGCCAGCATTGGTGAATTATGATGCCCTTGACAAATCTGAGAGTATCATCAGACAAACCTCTCACCATACTAAATATAAGAAAATTTGTATTTTTGTCCAGCGTTATGAATGTGAGGACTGCAGCATGGCTTTCAACCATATCTCCCATCTCACTGGACATCAGAGAATTCACAAGGTAGAGAAAGCCCACAGACCGGGTCAAACCACAAAGGCCTTTAGGCATGGCCCATCATTTACAACACTCCAAAGCATTTATATTCTAGATAAATACTTGGAGTGTAACCAGTGTGGCAAAACCTTTACCAGCGCTTTGAAGTTTATTCAACACCAGAATGTGCACAGCAGACTGAAGCCATATAGATGTGGTGTGTGTCAGAAGGCCTTCAGGTTTCTCTCCTCCTTTCAGACCCACCAGAGATTTCACGCCAGAAAGAGACCGGCCCTAATTCTCCATCACAAGCTTTACCTGTAAGTCTTGTGGGAGGGCCTTTGACACTTTCTCAGAAAAGATGCAACACCAAAAGATTTATGTTAGGAAGAAATATTACACATTTAATGACTGTAAAAAGGACTTCAGTCCATACTCGAAATTTATCCTACATCAAAGAGTTCATACTGGAGAGAGACCGTATACATGTAACGAATGTGGAAAATCCTACAAAAGCAGCTCAAATCTTAAAAAACATCAGAAAATTCATACTGGAGAGAGGCCCTTTTCATGTAATGAGTGTAAAAAGACCTTTACCCAGCACATAGATCTTCAGTGTCATCAACACGTCCATACTGGAGAGAAACATTACATGTGCAGCAGTTGCAAAAAGACCTTTGTCCGTTTCTCAGATCTAACTGAACATCGAAGGACTCATACCGGAGAGAGGCCATACCAGTGTGATGTTTGTGAAAAAACTTTTAAATATCACTCAAACCTTAGCAAACATCAGAAAATTCATTCTGAAGAGAAGCCTTTTACGTGTGACGAATGCCAAAAGACCTTTTGCTATTGCTCAGACTTTCAACGACATAAAAACATTCACACCAAGGAGAAAGTCTATCAGTGCGATGAATGTCAGAAGGTTTTTAACAATAATTCAAATCTTAATAAACACAAGAAAATCCATACCGGAGAGAAACCTTTTGTATGTGATCAATGTGGAAAGGCTTTTTAGCTTAAACTCAAAACTTACTCGACATCAGAAAACTCCTGATAAAAAGAAATCTTAAAAATCCAGAAGATGCAGAAAGGCGTTCAGAAAGCACTTACCTTTGGTTAGAATTCGAAATTGAACCCAAAGAGATCAATGCAGAAAGGTTTTTAGTCAAAGCCCAATTCTGTGTAAAGTATTTGCGAAACAGAGATACGTATATGGCGAAGAAACAGGGAGATATGATTAGAAATGTCTTTTATATCTTGCATTGACTAGATTCTTTGAGCAAAAATGACTAAATGTGTTCAACTGGAACTTGAAATTGGATAAGGCTGTTCCTATCGTGAGAAGTAGGAGATGGACCGAAAAGAACAATTGTGTTGTCGTCTCTTCATATTCTATTTTCACTGGATGAATAAAAAGCCTATTTTCAACGGAGGCAGGTCTCTGAAGATGTCAAATTTTGTAGGGAGATGAGGCAATGCGAATCCAAGCAAAAATAAGGGAAAAAAAAGCCTTCTCTTTGAAATTAGAACTATTAGAAAAGAAGAAAATTTGCTAGGGGACAGTGAACAACGAAAAACTAATCATGATTAAAGAAGCTAAAGGATGAAGAGTTAAGAGGGTAGACAGGAGAAACCTGGAGGACACTGGTTGTGGGGTGGGGGACGGGTGATGGCTTCTGCTGTTAGTCCAAATGGATAGGACTCTAGAACACCCAGCTTCCCTGAACAGTCAGCACCATCCTTAGATGTATCTAGAAAACCAAAAGGAAGGGGACGAATGCACCAATTCTAGTTAGATTCAGGACACAGAGAATCTATTACTCGTAGTGTTGTTTGAAATAAGTTGATTTCCTGAATGCTTTACTGAATAAATGCTAAGTCTTCTTGTATGCAAAAAAAAAAAAAAAAAAAAAAAAAAGGGCACCTTCCCGAGAGCAGCATCTCTGATTACTCCTGCTGGAAGCTCATCTTCCAGGAGTGCAGAGCCAAGGAACACATGTTAAGAACCAACTGGAAGAATTGCAAAGGTGCCGTGAGCGAACTGGAACACATTCCGGACGCGGCTTTGTGTGACGTGCATTCCCATGACGGCGTTGTCATTGCCGGAATCATGTCATCTAGAATCTGGAAGAAACCATAGAGGTTAACTGTTCTAAAACCTTCCTTTTACATGGCTGCCTGAGGCTTGGAGGTCTGACGAGCCGGGAGGGTCAGGCGTGCACTGCACCACTCCACTGTTCTTCTGCAATGTCCCCGTGGAAAACCAGCGGGTAGGGCTACCTTCTGGAGCCCTTGTTTGCTACTCTGACAGCTCATCTATGACAGCTTCATTTTGGGTTTTCTTTTGAGGCACATGTCATTCTTTTCTGTTAAAAAAACGAAAAAGTGGTAGTAAAACCATGTTCTTACAAAACCGTTAGAAAGCTGTGAAGAGAAAAAGCCACCTAAATCCCAGCATGCTAACATGGCTCTTGTTATGGTTTTTGTGTACACAAGTTATTTGCTCATTGTTTTATGCACATTTTTACATAAGCCTAACCTACCTTCTATTTTGGCCTTTATTCCTCACTAAACTGGTGAAGTTTTTTTTGTGTTATTACATGCTTTTCATTATTTTCTTTGATTTGTTACAAAAAGTCCTACAATGTATCTTAATTTTTTTTTTTATCATTCCTCTAGTATTGGACATTAAAGTCATTTCCCGTGTCTTGTTAAATACTGTTAATAAATACGACTGAAGTGATGAGTAGTAGTTAAGCCTTTAAAGGAGACAGGAACTAGATATAGTAGTGGGGAAAAGGCTGGATACACATACAAAACAAAGATCCTGTCTTGGCTGATTTCTCCATCCTTAGTTACTTGGGCAGAAATAGACAGCTGAGGACCAAGCCATCATGTAACCCCACAACCAGGTTACAGACCGTGTTTTTAGTTTTCCTCAACTTCTTTCTGTATAAACTGGGACCTGATAAATTGCTCTATCCCAGAGGCTGGCAAATGATGGTCCACAGGCCAAATCAAATCTACCACATGTTTTTTGCAAAGAAAAAGTTTTGTTAGAACACAGCCTTGCTTACTCACTTGCAGTTTGCCTATGGCTCCTTTCACATTACAAGGGCACGGATGAGTAGCAACAGAAACAGTATGACTGGCAAACCTGAAAATATTTACCATCTGGCCCTTTACAAAAAAAGTGTAGTGACTCCTCTGTTCCATCTATATTAGTTACATCTGCAGTAGAGATATATTTTCTATTGACATACTTACTTATATAGCTTGCTAATTAGAAATAGGGGCTAGACATTTTTTTTTTTAGCTCAATTCTTTGGCTTCATTTAATTGGACAAAGCTTAAACATATTAAAACATTATCAGGTTCACTAATTTTGTGATTAGTACATAGTATTTTGCCTTTTCTCATACTGCTTATAAACAAATTTGAAGACTGTCCTTTGATTGTTCATGAAAAAGTTTGAAGTTTCTTCCCCTTTTCCCTAAGAGGAGATAATTATGGGTCCAAAAATGAGATAATCACGAGTAGAGTTATATTTTTCTATCCTAAGGGTTAAAAGGTCAATTATTTGCATGAAGTGGGTCAAATTGGTGAAGTGTAAAACAACAGGTTCTAGAGTTCTAGAGTTGTAACTAATTCCACACGTACCTAGTTACACTGCATTTTAAAAGACTTCCAGATATAACAAAATTCCTAAATAAAACATGTCAAACATGTCAATTGGTGGAATGAAGCCACAGACTATCAGTTTGAGACAGTCATCATACAGAATAATTTAAAAA